GGGGTGGCTCAGGGATGAGTGACAGTGAAGATGGTGGGAATTATGTGAGTAACTTGAGCTGGCTGGCCAGGTGGGGAGAAAAGCATCTCTGCAAAAGGCAGAGATTAGGATATACAGAAGGATCAATTTGCATAATTCAATTAAGGTAGCAACTGAATTGTTTTAGAAGGCTGTTGCTTAGGTTTCTGACATGTAAACTTTTGTGCCCTGGGGAGTCATGGCCTCTTTACCTTGAGGCTCTTACCCAGTTGACACTCCTTGGAGCTGAGTGGCTCTACCATCCCACTGTTCCCTTAACTTCTATAGAGAGCACTATTGGAGGAAACAGGAGACTGTCTGATGGTTTTAGAGGTTACATATGGTACCTCCGCTAGCCTTGTTTGCAATTCTTAGAGCCAACTGAAGAGAGAAGGAAATACCATAGCCAACTCTGTACATAGCAGTATAAGGAGATAGTCTCCATATAATCAAAGTTGCAGCAGTTGTTCTGCATTCAAGGGGAGTCACTGGAGTTGTCTCCTGCATGTATCCAGCTCCTGTCTATGTTGAAAAATTATTCTTCATTGTTGGCCAGCATGAACTGCATACTGAGACGCTGTGTCAGAATGAGCAAAAGAAATGGACGGGAGGGATCTCAGTGAGTTGATCATTTCAAATATTTCATAAGCTGTTCAGACAGAGTTGTTTGACTTGGATGCCGAAAGGAGGCAGAGGGAGAGAGAGCAGTGTGGAACTGTGATCCAAGTTAAATATTTGCAAACTGAATCTAGCAGCTTATAAAAGATGTAATTTGGAAAAAAAGAAAAAAATAAAGATGGTCTTGAACTGATAAAAAGAATCTACCAGGAATGAGAGGAAAGACACAGTGTTCCTGGGATGGCAGGGAACAAGGCGTTAAGTTTGCCACAGTGGTAGCAGCTTAACGAGGAACAGGAGGTAGCTAAGATAACAAGGACAAAGATATCCAAATGTTGATAAGAAGGGGACAAAACTGACTCTGTAAAAATGCTACTGTCATGTGAAAAGCCAAACATCAATAAACAAAGTATTGAAATGAGAAAAACAAATTCAGCTAGGCAGCTGGGAAAGAGCTCCGAATCCCAAATGAAGTGGTGGTGTTTCCTGTGTGACCAGTTCCGTCAGTGCCACACACCAAGCACCACCTCAGGTACTCATGTACCCCATCTTTGGAACAGTTGATTTGTGCAGACAGGTCTAGGTGAGAGGAACAGGAAATGAACCTGGGTATTACTTGTGGAGTTTTTTCTATCCCAAATAACATGGCAATAAAAAAAACCCCCAAACCTCATATACTGGTGGCAGAGGCAATGAAATGCCCACCCAGATTCCTATTCCTCCTTCCACCGTCATCTCTGTCGACTTGTAAGTGGTTGTTCAGCAGTGCACCCTCAGATCCCTACCAAACGTGTGTCACCATGGGGTTAAATTTGCAAATGAAGCCAAGCAGGACAGATGTACGATGCTTCTCATTCAAAGAGGTGAGTGATAGTGTATCTTTTCCACTATCAAAGAGTATTGTCAGACAATACTTAGAGTATCACATACGTCTCAGTTACTTTTCTCTTGTTACTGAGACAAAGTAAGTGGCACCCAAAGTGAGAGGGGGAAAGGTTTATTTAGTTTGCAGTTTGTAGAAGTTTCAGTCTATAATCAGTTGGCTCCCAGGCAGGCTGGCACATGGCAGAGGAGAAACAGTTCGTGGCAGGAAGACAGTAGCAAAGCAGCAAGGGACTTGAATAGTGTCTTTCTGCCCCGTTTATCTTATTCAGGCTATTCAGGGCAGGTAGCACTCATACTCTTAATCGGAGCACCCTTGAGCCTAGCATTGCACCATGAATCAATTCCAGCACTATACTCTCTAGATCCAGCCACACCTGAAAAAAGCCCCATCCAAGACTGCATGAGGCTTTGAAATAAAACCTACAAGGAAAAGTTTCATTTCTGTATGTATCTATCTATGCCCATAAGTGCAGGGAAAAATTTACAGGAGAATCAACAAGACACTAAAGCAGAAGGGTCCAAGGGTGGGGACATGGAACTGGGGGCACTGGGTTGTGTTTTCATTGGTATTGTTTGAATCTTCATAATGAAAATGTATTTGTGTGTTCAGTACTGTGTGTTAACACATTAAAGCAGATAAAGATGTAAACACTAAGGTTTCAATTTAAGATATTTCTACTTGAATGGTTTTGGTGGAAGTTGGTTTTTTGACACCTTTCTTGGTTAAAGGCCATTAGCCTGAAGAGTGAATTAGTGGCTATTAGAGACCATGTAGTCTGAGCCACAATTCAAGTACGTCTCTGTTTTCTCTGGTTTATACTTTTTTTAAAAATGAAAACCATAGCAAATGCTTGCTTTGGCAGCAAATTTTGCTAAGAGTGAAGACAGAGAAGATTAGCCTGGGTCCCCAAGGAAGAACTGAATACAGAAGGTATTCCATATTTTTGTTAAAATATTTTATGGCTTCAAGATCTAAATGTTAGAAAAGAAACACTTTATCTGCTGGAAGATAAAACAGGTAAAACTATTGAAGACATAGGCAAGGACTTTCTGAACAGAACCCCAGTGGCACAAGAAATAATACTGAAAAAGTGGGATCACACCAAATTAAAAAGATTCTGCACACCAAAACCCCCAAACAAGCAAGCAAACAAACAAAACAAAACCAAAAACACCCAACAGAATGAAGAGACCACTTAAAGAATGTAAAAAGTTTTTGTAAGTCATTCCTCAGAGGAATGGCATCTAGAATAGATAAAGAACTCAAAAAAGTTAGACCCTTCCTCAATAAAAGACCTGATAAAAATGGGCAAATGAAAGGAATAAACACTTCTCAGAAGCAGTACAAATAACCAGTAAATATGTGAAAAAATCTTCAGCATCACTGTACACTAGAGAAATGTACATTGTAACAACACTGAGGTGTTATCTTGCTTCAGAAAGAATAGTTATCATCAAGAAATCAGAACACAGCAAATGCTGGCAAGAATGTGGGAAAAGAGGAACCTTCCTACAGGCAGGAATGTAAACTAGCAGTGTTGGTAGGAATGTAAACTAGTGCAGTCACTATGGAAATCAGGGTGGGGAGTCCTCAAAAAGCTAAACATGGAAATTCCATTTGACCCAGCTATTCTCCTTTTGATAGCTTCCCTGAAAGAGTTAAAGTCATCATGTTACAGTGATATTTGCATATCCATATTTATAGAAGTATAATTTATAATAGCTAAATCTTGGAAATAGCCTACATGCCCACCAACAAATGAATGGAGAGGAAAACATTGTATTTATGTGTAAGGCAGTACTGCTGTGCCATACAGGATTTACCTGTAAATGGGTGCATTTCAAGATCGTAATGTTAAATGAAATAAATCAGGCGTAGGAGGTGAAATGTCACATGGTTTCTCTTACAGGAGAAACACAAAGTGCAAATAAAGAGCAGAATGAGGTAGATAATAGGAAACAAGGAATAAGAATAAGAGAGGAAGGAGCAGGAAAAGAAGGGGAAAGGGATTTTTCAAAAAGGGAGAATTGCAGAAAAACCAGAAACAGAGCTTTTGTAAGTGAGAAGGGGACCCAAAGTTGGGGGAGAAGGAAGGAATGGGAGGGAAAGGGGGCAACAAACACGTTAACATGCATGTACCAGCTCCCCACAATAGATGTGCTGCAAGCGTGTACTGATAAAACTTTTTTAAGAAAAAAGATTAGGTGGGGCTGGGGATTTAGCTCAGCGGCATAAGCACCTGCCTTGCAAGCAGGCAGTCATGAGTTCAATCCCCGGCACTGATAAAAAGACAAAAAAAAAAAAAAAGATTAGGTACCTTTTATGTTATGTGTCTTTAGCCACAGCTAAAAAGCTAACAGTGGAAGTCATTTGATTAAACCTGTAGAGAAAGACTTCAGTAAGCTGGGCCTTTGCCACTAACTCAGATGTCACCAACCTGTTTAAATGAGTAATGATTTTTTCTTTTCATTTTGTTCTTCTGGACAAAGTTTTAGCTTTTCTCATTGGTAAGACCTATTTTAGGGTTTCCTGTAACCCCCGGCGCAGCACACGTACACAAGCCCGGGACTCACTCTCACTCCAGCCGTTACACTCAGCCCAGTGTAGGCCTCGCCCTTGCTGGTGCCTGGGAAGCACCTGGCTTTTCCCCCGGGGCCCCCAGTTCCATTCCCCTTCCTGCCAGAGACAGAAGAAGAGCGTTCCCCTGTCCAGTGATTCTCCAGAAGAATGTTTTGGTGAATAGAAGCCGCTCAGGGATTGCTGAGAAATGCTATTTCTGTCCCACGGCCATTGTAGACCTTCTGCCTACAGCTGTCCCTCCCTCCTGAGGGGCACTGGTCCGGGCCTCTGCAGACACCAAAGTGCACAGCTGTCCAAGTCCCTCACATAAGATGGCACAGTGCTCTGCCTGTCATCCGTGTCATCCTTTTGTGCACTTTAAATCACTGCAGGTTACTTATAACAGCTAATATGACAGGAATGCCTTGTAGATAGCCTCATTATTATACTGTTCAGAGCAAAATGACAGGAAACAAAAACCCTGCTGTACCTATTCAGTGGAGATACAACTCTCCCCTATATTTTTGGTCTGTGGCGTGGTTGAATCTGTGGATGTGGAGCCGTGGGTCTGGAGGGCTGACTGTATGTAATGTGAAGTCTGTAATATTTTGATTTAGACACAGTAAATCCCATGTGTTTTGGATAAGCAGCTTTCAGATTGTGGGTGTGTAAAGAAAAGTACCTAGAATAGTTCCCAGGACATAGTAAACACTCAGGCACTAATGCCTATTATGCTCTCCCCTGTAAGTCCCTTGTGGGGGACTATTTTGTCCATATCTCAGCCACACTTGTCCTGTTCTGCATGGTGCCAGTCCTGGTGGAGCAGGCATCTTACACTGCACCCAAGTGTAGCACGTGGAGACTCACTTATTCACCTGTCTCCTCATTTGTTTTTGGTTTTCTCCGTTCTTACCCCCAGCTAGCAAGACGAGGACTCAATGTTGTACTCATCAGCCGGACGCTGGAAAAACTCCAGACCATTGCCACTGAGATCGGTGAGTTCTCCCCATCGTGTTTCAAGTCATGGAGCCACCAGCCCAGCCTGCCCCGTCCTCATTTGTGATCCCTGCTCTATCCCCAGAGCAGCCTTGTTTACAAACTGAAGGGTAAGGTTCAAGGTGCAGGCTTTAGCCTGCCATGGATTCTGTGGGCTGTGGTTCTGCAGTGCAAGAAGAGGCACAGGCACAAACAGACCCACTTCTTCCTTTGATCCAGCACTCGCATCCTTAGATTAGAGTCAGCCCTGCTCATCGGGAGACCCCCAGCTGCCTGGTAACTTCTACTCCTTTTCAAAGCAGAATTTGTGTGCGGATCTGCACTTCCTGTGTCTGTGCTCTGCCCCCTGCAGGAGGGTAAAGGATAGTGCTTACTGGTGGTCATCAGATTTTAAAAACAGATCTGGCCTAGAGCCGCCATGTATGGTTGCAGAAGCTGCAGAGGTTGTGTGCTGTGAAGCTCTAGAAGCAGCTGTTATACTATAATGTTTCATTATGACTGTTTGCTTGGAAGTGTTCTGAGTTAACATTGACTGTATATTTTTCTTTGGATGTTTGAAGTTTAATAATTATTAACGATTAGTAAGTAGTTTTTACCTCAAAGGGACGAGTGATCATGAAGTCTTCAGAAGACCATTGCAGACCTTCTGGGGTCAGCCTTACTGCCCTGGGGAGATCTGAGGTGGAGAAGGTGTGGGCGAGGTGGGGTCATACCACAGCAGCTCTGTACCCTTGAACAATGGACTCTGATTTTATCCTGTCTGGATATATGAAGGATCACTAGTGGGACCAAGACATTCTTGAATATTTTTCTTACCGTGCTAAACTGTGCTTTTCTTCAATCATCCTTGTGAAAACTAAGTCGTGTTTTTGCTTTCAAAGCATCCTGCTCACCTAAATTATGCCTTGAGATTGCTTGATGCAGAAATACTGTGTCTAACTGCAAAATGAAAGGAATATACCAAGAAATTGGTGAACTCTGCTTTTATATCTGCTGGAAAATTCCTACCTGAGGCACTGTAATAAACTGGCAGTGCATTGGGAGTGAGAAGAGTATGGGTGCTTTGGGGCAGTTTCCTGTTCTCTGAGGCTTAGTTTCCTGTACAGGAAAGTAGGAATGATGTTCTCTACTTCACGAGGTTGTCAGGAGGACTGACACGTGAGCGTGAATGTCTCCTGTCTCAGTGCCAGGCAAACGCACGGACGGCTCTGTCTGTGGCCTTACTGAGCGCAGGCAATGGCGGACCTGCTTTTCCACCCCTGGGCCCACGGATCTCCTGAACATGTGCAGGAGACCCAACTTGTGGCTGGGTCTTTTCAGTGGGTCTGTGATGGACATCAGCATTTGCATTTCTAACACGTTTCCCTGTAGTACTGCGGTCTCCACTTTGGGAACCACTGCACTAAATCTGTTTTAAGGCAAATACTTCTCACTGTAGTAACTGATAAATACAAGATAGTAGTAAGTATTACAGTTAGCATCGGGGAACCTCATGGTCCAGAGGGAGATTTCTACCCCTGTTGATCAATAAATACCTGTTTTCTCTAATGCAGCAGGTTCTACTGGGAGAAGTGTGAAGATTATACAAGCAGATTTTACCAAAGATGACATCTATGAATATATTAAAGAAAACCTTAAAGGCTTAGAAATTGGAGTCTTAGGTAAGAAAATTGCAAAATACTAAGGCTGCTGTAATATAGCATTGAAATAATTATCTTAGTGACATTTGATCATTCCATGGTAGCTTAATTTTAACCCTTGATGGTATTTTAAATTGCAGCATTAAATTGATTATTAAGGCTCAACTCTTCAAGAGAGATCATAGGATTAAAAAATTATATATGTATATATTAAATATACATTCCAACCTTCCAAATGATATTTTATAATGTTAAAGTGAATTATTTGTCACAGAACTGGTATTGACCATTTCTCAGGAAGAGTGATCCCAGAAACTGGCCTGAAGAATTAGTTTAGCAAACCAGCGTTTCTCTCACTGATCCACGAAACAGAAAGTCAGTGTTGTGATTTGAGAATTGAAATTTCTTACTCAGGAAACAAAGATATTTCCTGTAATGATTTGTAGACAAGGTCTTTTACAACCACATGCACTGTATGATGTTTGTATTACACATAGAAGCAAGTAAGATTTGATTTCTAAGCTTCTTGCTGAATTAAAAACATTACATAGTCATAAACAAAAATGTAAAACATATCAATGTAGAAAAATTTGAGAGAACAGACACATAAAAGAAAACTACAAATTTCTTAAAATCTTCAAAATTGGAGATAGCATTTTTACATATATGCACACATTTTCAAAAAACGGAATTACGTGTACTTACTGTTTCATACTTTAAAACTGATATCAAATATTTACCTGTATCTAAAATTTCAAGCAGCTGTAGTTTTTCGCTGCATGACCACATACCTGGTTTTGGAGACTTGTTTTTTTCCCATCTCATTTCCACTATCTTGTGTATAAATAAATCTTTTGCACGTGCCTCTTTGGGAATTTCCTACCTACTCTTCTGATGCGTTTTTGTTTCGCCCCTTTCCATCAGTCAACAATGTTGGAATGCTTGCAAGCCGTGTCCCGAGCCATTTCCTTACCACACCGGACAGCATCCAGGTGGGCCTGGGCTCTTTTGTGCACGTTTCCTCCAGCACAGAACTGACCCCTGCGATCCGTGACTGCTAGGGGTGAGGGAGGAGTCATGGGAAACGCATTCTCTATTGCACGGTGAAGGTCTTGAGATCTCTATTTTTACCTTTTACAGTCAAGAGACATCTATCTTTTCAGGACTATCTCTTGAATGAGGACATCTTTCCTCTTCTCTGCATATCAAAATTCTCCTGGCCATTGTCCCATTTTTGAAGCTCCGCACCCTGCTTGATAGAAGGGTGATTCTTCTCAGTGAATTCATAGCTATTGGTGTACAGGGGAGCAGCCCAGCTCTTTGGCTTTGCCTGTCTTTCTAAGCAAAGAAGATTTATTTCACTTTTTTTGTGAAGGAGAAACAGGTGTCCCCAGCATCCAGGGGGTACTAGTTCCAGGACTCCTGTGGATACCTAAATCCATGGGTGCTCAAGTCCCATAGAACCAGGGCACATCTTCCTGTGTACTTTAGATCACCTCCAGGTTACTTGTGATACCTAATACAGAACAAATGCCTTGAATGTAGTTGTTTTACTGTATTGTTTAGAGAATAGTGACAAAACCCCTGTGTATTTCCAGTACAGATGCAATTAAAGAAATAATTTTGATCCATGAATAGCTGATCGGACCCAATAGCTGATCGGGCATGGAGCTTGCAGCATGGAGGGCTGGTATGTGTGACACAGACCCTTGCTGGAAGGGTTCGTGAATTCAGCCCACTTTGCTCAGACCTGTGGTTGGCATTGCCAGCCATGAGCAAAGTTTTTGAGAACCTAACAGTTCCCAGATGCTCTTCCATCAGCCTTTTCCAGGGCCCTGTCTTTTGAAGCCAGGGGTTCTGCCACTCAGAGTGGGTGCTGGGCTTTCTCTCCTCAATTCCACAGCTGTCCCAGGGCCGTTTTTAGGTGGGGTCTCCGTGCCAGGAGGCTGGGATGCTGTTGCACACCCTCACCTGACTCCTCTCTGGACAGCATATAAACCCGGTGGCCTCTGCTGTTCCTCACTCCTGTTTCTGGCACAAGTCTGTGCTTCTCTGTTTGTCCTAGGAGATTCTAGTAGCTTTATTGATTTTTGTGACTGCCCTATGTAACCCAGAACCTCTGTCTTCTATCATACAACCTCTCATGTTTCTACCCTCGGTGCTATTGTCTCTTAGGCCCACACAGGCTATCCCTGCTTCCTCTCGGTGATAATTGAATATGGGTGCTCCTCAACTTAGATGGAGTTCATTCCAGTAAGCCCCTCACAAGGTGAGAATATAGGCCACACACGCATTTAACACACTTAGCCTGCTCCCACCTCGCGCAGCAGGACACTGTACACTGCCGCCATGCCCCTTCTGGCCAAGGGGCTGACTGGGACCGCACCTTGTTTTGGGGTCCAGCATTGAGGAGAAGGTGTCACCTGGCACATCCCTGGCCCCAGAGGAGATCCAAATCCAGCCTTCCAGGCACGGATTCTACTGTGTGCACATTGCATATGATACCAAGTCAGGCACCAGCTTATTTATTTATTTATTTATTTTTTGTCTTTTTTGTTTTTACCGGTACCGGGGATCGAACTCATGACTGCCTGCTTACAAGGCAGGCGCTTATGCCACTGAGCTAAATCTCCAGCCCCTAGCTTATTTTCTTTAAAAAGTTGACTCTACTCCCCTGACATGTTCAAGGAAGCTTGTGACTGACTTACAGGCAAGGTCACATACTGTAGAACCATAGAGCGAACCTGTGTGGTTTCCAGTGCTAGTGCACCCCTGCTGAAAATCAATCAGGAGACTGATTTGAGGACTGGGCGAGAGACGGAACCAGCCAGCCACAAGCTTTGGCCCACTTAATGGTTCTTTGCCACTAAATATTTTCCAAGCCAGTTTCTTAACAATCTGATTCTTGGTTGTGATTATTTATTACAGAGCCTCATCCACTGTAACATCACCTCGGTAATCAAGGTATGTAAATCTCTGTGTTAAATGCACTAAAATGTAGTAGTTGTTGGAATATGTCAGCTTCAGAGAACTGCCCCATCCCAGGGAAAGAGGAATGTCTGAAACTGAGCCACCCTTGACTGAGAAGCCATGTTATAATCTTTTGCTATTTTATTCTGTTTGCACCGAGAAAACACAGTGATGAATTCATTCTATGATCTGAATCTACTTCTACGTTCTGTTTTGTTACATATTAGACCTGATGATGCCAAAATATATTCAGGATTTCAAGGCAATTTTAAAAATTTAATACCCTTCTCTAATTTTAGTTTTTGTAAATAGATGAAAGTCCACTCTGGGAGGAAGAATGGCAGGAGGCATGGATTAGGCTTTCTGGACCTTTTGTTAATCAAAAAATATTTGTTTATTTGAAGCCTTTAACCATGGCTTTGCTTTTTACTGTTTTTACTTGTGATCAATCATGGTCCCAAAATATTATATGGGAACTTCTATGTTTTAAGAGAGAAGAGAGAGAGAGAGAGAGAGAGAGAGAGAGAGAGAGATCACATTAGAATAATATATTACACTGTATCATTATCATTGTTTCATTGTATTATTATCCATTATTAATCTCCTAGTATGCCTAATATATCAGATAAAATTTACCGCAGATGTGTCGGAGTAGGAGAGAACACCAGGGTCCCTAGAAACTTGGTACTGTCCTTGATTCCAGGCATCTACTGAGTGTCTTAGAATGCTCCTCCCTCAGATGCATGGGGAATACTGCGTTCTGAACCCATCTCTGCTCTAACTACAGTAACTGGACAGCACTGGGCAGGTTAGCTAGCTCCCTTGAACTTCATGAGTGCTGGACCCAACCATGTCTTAGGTACATTCAGCATTCTGATTCTTTGACTGAGATGAGCTGAACAGTCATAATGTGACTTTAAGGCTGCCCTATGCTATGCCTGAACAAGGAAAAAGGCAGATTCTTTGGACAGGCAGTCTAGAAAACTGTGCCACTTAAGAACAGAGCCAGCCAAGGCCATGCAACTCAGTTAATAGATGTTGCTTTTGGGTGAACACGATGCTTCTCCTTCTTTTGGGGAGCTCAAGCCCTCTGTCTCCACCACAGTTTGTAGCTAGCGAGTGAGCCCTGAGTTTCCTGCCTGTACTTGCTCCATAGCTCACCACTTTGCTCAGTTCACAAAGTCCGCAGCTGTACGTGGCAGCCCTGTGACCACTCTGGGAGCAGCAGTGGAGCTGCGGAGCTGGGTAAAGTGAGAGCCCTGCTTCCAAGGAGCTGGAACCATCGTTGGAGAGTGGGAGCGACTTAGCTGCTCTCATCTGAATCACCTAGACTAGTAATGGAGGAGGACTCATTTCTCAAAGGGAAACCAGATCCCTGTCAAGGAAGGACAAGGGCGCTGTAAGCTATGTAGCACAAAAATTATTTTCAGGTGGGAAAGTCAGGCTGACAACAATTATCTTTACCACTGGTTGTTTTCTGTAAGCCGGCTGATATTTTATAGTTTCCTGCTCGATTGTTATTGAGTAAACACATTCTTTTTTCTGCTTTTTAAAGCTCCCAGCTGATGTAATTTTAAGTTTTATGTGTCCAACTGTTGTCTGTAGCCTTACCACTAAACTCTTTCACATTATTTTACACATTGATCTTTCCGTCTTGGGCTGTTTGATCATGTAGTTTTCCCTAAATAGGTTTGACAGCCCTCTGATGCCTTTAGCAAAGAAATGCTTTGATTTGTCAAAAAAAAAATTGTTTTGTTTGTTGATAGATATTGAGTTCCCTAAGTAACAAAGAAAAGAAAGAAAAGATTAGCTTCTAAACACGCCGTGCCAAAATGAGCTCTGCTGGATGGCAGCATGATTGGTGTCACTGAATTACTTTACAGATGCCAGCTGGAAATAGTCAAGTTCTCTGTGAGGGGCAGAGATGGGAGAATGAGTTTGAGGGTTACGGAAAGGTGGGATGAGGCTAAACACGGGGCCCCCTGTCCAGCATCATCTCCCTTAATTGGGACTGTGACCCCAAAAGGCTCTTCCCAGGAGAGGGAGACTTTGAGGACAAGCTGGTGTCTCCGCAGGACTCCAAGAATGTCCCCAGGGGAGCTGGAGAGGCAGGGGCAGGGGCAGGAGCAGGGAGATACAATCTGGTTCCTCATCCTGCTCTTGCCTCTGTCCACACCCTGTGTGTCAGAGGCAGAGCGGGGAGTTCTAGAGAGCCCCCACCCAACCCCCCAGAAAGAGCATGATCTGGGGGCACGGAGCCAGGCCTGGGGACGACAGCAGTGGTGGCGGTGAGTTGAGAAGCTGCTGCAGGGGCCCTGGACAGTGGGAAAAGACAGTGTGTGTCTGCTGTCCTCCTTCCATTTGGACCCTTCCCATTGCAAATCTGTCCCTAGGACAAGCCTTGGCTGCAGTCCAGTGTGTGTTAGACACATTTCAGTCCATGAAACTGCCTCTTTCTCAATTCTTAAAAAGTGGGCCTTGTGATACTTCAGTGAAAAACTCTCTAAACAGAGTATTTAGCTTACAGAACTGACACCTTTGGTGGTGGCAGGATGGGACATCGCAACGCATCTGTAATTCCAAGAGACAGGAGTAGCCATGTGTTCTGTTCCCGTAGCTATGTACCGGGCTGCCCCTGTTGGATGAAGAGATGCATCTGGGATGCACCTGGATGCTTCAGTAGTTCCAGTCCATCACGGAGGGATATGCTGGCCAGCCTGATTTTGCCTGTCATTCAAAATAGAGAATGTACAGGAATCACTGTCTTCACTCCACAGCCCTAAGCCAACTCCCACAACTTCATAATGGCCTCCTTTACCAGGAAGACTTTAGGGGGAAGAAACTAGAAGCCTATAAATAACGTGCTGTTTGTCAAATTGCCTCCTGGGTTTCCAGCCCTACTGCTTGGTTGCCAGAGTGACCTCTCACTGAGCAATTTTCAAGGTCACCTAAGGAGGTTCGGCTCTCCCTCAGCTTCCTCTAGGATGTCCTTCCCCCAGGACCACTCTTTGCTCCTTGGTGCTGGGCCAGGGCTTAACTTTGGCCTTCTCTTCTAGATGACACAGGTGGTCCTGAGACACATGGAATCAAGGTAAGAGCTGTCTTTGAAAGTCTTGAGCAACATGGCCTTCTGCCCTGGCAGTCAGCTAACTAGGGGGACAGGGCCCATCCAGCTGCTGGTTTGACCAGTGATAACAGCCAGCATGAAAGTACTCGGAGCTTGTGGGGGAGGAAACACACTGTTCTGGCCTACGCCAGATCTTCAAACAGATTCATGTATTTGAAGGTCAAGGGTAACACACACTGGAAGGAAGAAGAAATGAGCCATTTCAGCACATATTGGCTTATAGAAAATTAACTCATGAGCATAAAAGAAGCCAGTTGGCCAGAGACCAAGACCATATCTTTTTTCTTATGAATTTCAGCCTTTGTTAGAATGAGCACTCTGACCAATCAGGCCCTTCATTTATTCCATGTTTATGTATACCACTTTGTTATAATCTGAATGCAGGAGCTGGTTTTTCTCAGGTGGTTGTCATTAAAAACAAATGGTTAATAGCTTTAGCTTCTCTAGGGCAATGAAGGGCTTGGCATGCTTTGCATTTGCAGTTCCTCGCCCCTGCCCTCCCCTCCAAATATCTAACTGGGAAGGATTAAAGATGCTGCATTTCAAAAAGACAGGGAAGACACCCCCCAGGACTTGTCTGTGTGAGCCACTGATGGACCACCAAATTCCACCCTAGAAGGGAACATCTGTCCTGCTGTGGGGCATCTATGTGTGCCAGAAGAGACCTGCAGCTTGTGTTACACAAGAGGACCCCTTCCTCCTGGAATCTTGTTTGGCCTCAGTCGGCCATCTGTATTTTGGTGGGGAGACTTTTGTCCTAGCGGAATCTGCATTCTGATGGGGAGACCTTTGTCCTGGCAGAGCCAGGAACAAGTTTCCAGGAACAAGCCCTTAATGTCACGTGCTTATCAGCGACACCACCGTGCAGCGTGCTCCTGGAGAACTTAGGGGAAGTTCCAACACAGTTCTTGGACACAGAGCTCTTAGAACCATGAACATCTAGAGAGAGCAGAGTGTGAGGGCATTCAGAGTCCCTTTGGTGGCTTTCTACCCAAGATGGGATCGGGCACAAAGCCACGGAAACTTGGTTTCTTTGCTTTTTAGGAGGAAAGGTCTCATCTTGAACATTTCTTCAGGGGCATCCCTCCGTCCTTGGCCTCTGTTCTCTCTGTACTCAGCTTCCAAGGTGAGTGACACATTATTGCTTTTCTTCCTTCTTCCTCTTGTTTCTCATGGGCAGCATTTGCCTTTGGACCACAGTGCAAGTTGATGGACAGGCTGGCTTGGAGGCAGTCTTGTGAGACAGAGGTGGCCCATGGAGGGTCTGGATGCAAGTTAGAAAAAGCTTCCCCTTTGGGCAGCACACCTCCAGCCCAGACACTTCTGGCTGAGAGCCTTGCTCTCTTTCTGTTTGCTCACAAGTGGTCCTGTGGCTTCCTGGAGGTCCTGGAGGTCCTGGAGGCCTAGCCTGGTGCCCCTGCCACCATGCCTCATCATAGAAGCAGTCTGAGGGATAGCAGGGACCTCATCAGGAAGTGCTGCCTTGTAGGCTAACCCGCATGCAGTGGCCCTAGGCATGTATTTATTTTAAGGTTATGTTCTTGCTGATCCAGGTTACTCTGCCTAGACTGGGGAACGAGGACAAATTGCTGTTTTTCCTACTTTCTCATCCCCTACCTGCTTGGATTAGGGTATAATTGACAAGTGTACAGCCTGATGCTTTGATAGATGTGTACGTTGTGGAAGGATTAGAGTGAGCTACTTAACATAACCTCTGACCTTGCATTTTTATTTTTTGTGATGAGAACATTTAAGATCTAAGGCCCCCACTCTCAGCAACTTTAAAGTATGCAATATGCAGTCACCATGCTGGACAGTAGCTCTCCAGAACATCTCCTTCCTGCATAACTGGAGGTGTGTTCTTTGGCCAATGTGGCTCCCAAGCCTGCCACATCTCTGTGGTACCCTTGGAAATCTGAGTCAGGTGGCTCTGGACCTGAGCTGCTTCTCTGTCTCACTCTAGGCTTTCGTGCGCATGTTTTCCAAGGCGCTGCAAATGGAATATAGAGAGAAAGGGATCATTATCCAGGTGAGATGGGTGGGTATGGAGAACTTGGGCATCATGGGCCTGTGCCACCGACTCCTGCGGGACTGGCTGTGTGTGTGCATCCCATGGAGAGACAAGCCGGGCGGTGATCGGTGGGTTCTGGGGTGTTTCCCTGGCAGCTGCAGCCACCGCAGTCCTATGGTTTCTGCTGCCCAACTTGTGCCTTGGTTCTGAGAGAGGAGATGGGCAGAGATGTGGGTGACCCGATGTGCTGCAGACCCTCTTGCGACCGACCCAGTGGTGCCACAGGACAAAGACTGCATGGCCCTGTGCTGCCTTAGCCTTCCCTAGGAAGTGGCCAGCTGGCCCTGGCCAAGCGGAAAGAGGGAGGGAAGGAGGAAAGGAGAAAGGGGGGAAGGGGTAGGGACTGGAGCATCTCTGGTCCACCATTCAAAGGCTTTTTTATCAACTGGGATCTTGCCTGGCCATCTTTTCCTCTCTGACCCAGATACAGAAGATGGGCCAATGAGGGAGGAATTGCAGGAAGTGAGCAAAAGAAAACTGGCCCTTGGTCTGTGTTGGAACTAGGGGAACAGAGGGGCCTTCCCTAGGGGCCATGGCTCTTGTAACCCCTACACTCTGGTTGTGGGGCAGTGAGGGCAGGGATACTCTGTGCAGAGACCCCCTGACCCCATCTAAACAGGCCGGGGTTATCTGTCCATAGGCTGAAGAGTGTGACATCCCAAGTGTCCGCGTGACATCCTGAGTGTCAGTGATTTATATGTGTGGGTTCAGCCACAAAGGGCTCCACAGTTTTTGGAATCTGAAATTAGCTGGATACAGAAGAGTTGTGCTGTGTGGTTTTGTTTTTGTTGTCTGGGAAGAAGTTTTATGGTATATGATTAGCCAGGATGTAGCTGGGAAGAAGTTTTATGGTATATGATTAGCCAGGATGTAGCTCAGTGGTGTAGCACCTGACTGGTGAGCACAAGGCCCTCAGTTCAATTCCCAGTACCAAAAAAAAAAGAAAATATTAAAAAATGAAAGAAATTAAAAAGGTGCACTCAAATTTATGTCTTTAAAGTCACTGCTACACACAGTGATTTTCAGTGTCCAGACTACTCCTATAATCTACCAGCTTGGTAAACAGTCCAGTGTGTGTTAACGGTCAGGACTGAGCCAAAGCCATCACTTTCATGACCACAGAGTGAGCGTTATAGCTCATGTCTAGATGACCCCAAAGCCTGATACAGTCATAGGTGGGGCTTTTTCAGAGGGGTCTGCACCTAGAGCATGTGGCTGGTTCATGGTAGGATGAAGGGGAAGCGATGGCACCACCCATACTCCAGGTTGTGTCTCAGAGTAAGGGACAGAAAGAAGCTTGTCTTGTCACTTGCTTGTTTTGCTTCCTTCTGCCTGTGATGCTAGTCTGCCACATCACCCTGCCTTGGGACCAGCTGACTGTGGCATGAAAACTCTGCAAACTGTGAGCCAAATAAACCTTTCCTCCCTTTAACTTTGGGCATCAAGTATTTTGCCTCAGCAACGAGAGAAATTAATGAAGACGGTGAGGGACTGTGCCTGCCGTGTCACTGTGCCGCAGCTCCTTCTCCTGCGCTGCTGAGCCAGTCCCACCCAGACATGTTCCCGGACTGGCAGGAGCTCACTGTGGTGCACCCAGCCTGATGAAGCAGCCCCGTCTGCGTCGTCCCTCTTGATACATCAGAAGTCTCACTTTGGCCTGGAAATGACACGTGGTGCTCATGTCACACTTACTACAGGGGCTCAGGAAGTACAGCTGTGTCAGGTGTCCAAGAACAAAAAACCAGAAATCCTTGGTGACTTCTGAACCCAAGGGACTCCTGTAACCTCCTGCTTCCTGGCCATGTGACACCCTAGCATCACCTTGGCTCATCATTGTGGGCCAGAGGTGCGGTAGCTGCCAATGTGATGTGTTCCATGAGGACACCAGGTGTGGAGACACGTGTTAGAGAGCTGTCCCTCCCGTGCCCTGGGGCCTTGAAGCTGTTGCTCTAGAAGTCTGAGAAACTTCCCTTTCAAAAGTCAACTGGCCTTAAAAAGACACAGAACTGGCACTCAGGAATATTTGTTACACGAATGAAGATATGTGTGTCATAAACTTGGGTTCAATTTCATCTCGGCTCTGCCATTTATCATCTGAGTCTTCCTGAGTAGCACGCTTAACCTCTGTGAACCTCAGTTTCCCCACCTATAAGATGGGTTTTATAATGCCTCCTTACTTTTCAGAATTATCATGAAGATCTAATAACTACTATATTAGTATATACACTTAAACCATATTTATTGAGTCCATATCTTGTACATTAAAAATTCTCACTGTAAAAATTTGAAAATTATGATTGAGAATGCTTCTGATATTTCTCAAGGAGCAACCCTTTGGGATCCTTGGAAGAAAAGTGTTAGTTACATTAATCGCAGCATTAATTTCCCTAAGAGCCAATGCAGCTGGATTAAATTATAAAACAATGTGATTTTAAATGTGATGTGAAGGAAAGTAAAACAAAACTAGCATGGATCTTTTTTGTTTTTCTAAAGAAGTCAGATGGTCTGTGTTGTGTTTGAGAATATAATAGTAAAACCTGATTAAGCAGCCTCATGCGAGTTGAGGGTGCAGTTAGAGCATGGATAGAAACAATGCTGGATTTTCAGGGTACAACATATGGTTGCTTATTTCTCTTGCCACACAGAAAAATTCTGAAGTTTGAGCTACTCGGCAACTAACTGGAGGGGAAACGATGGGAATCTGAGGGCTTAAATTGCTCCACTTTTGGTTATATGAATTAGAAGCAATATTCTAAGATAGGGTGGAGTGCAGAGCATCCAGTTAAATTTAAACGTCAGACAAACATGAGGAGTTTTTAGCAAACATGCAGCCTATACAATACTTGGGATGTAACTAATTATACTGAATTTTTTGGACGTTTGTCTGAATTTCTAATTGAGTGTCCTCCTCTCTTTGTGTCTGCTGGTAGAGCTTCTGTCCTCGCAGTCACCTGTGTGCTAGGGGCTGGCATATCAGAGCCCCTGAGTCAGTGTGGCTGAGGTTTCCTCTTGAGAAATGAAACTTTCTGGTCCTCACGTCTGTGCCATTTCTGGCAACAAGGATCCCCGACAGTGTTACAGGAAGAGAACAGAGTAGACAGGTGGGGGATGGCAGAATGGGTGCTGAGTTTTCAGCTCTTCCCTTCTCGGTGCCATGGTCTGTATTTTCATTGTAGGTTCTCACCCCGTTTGCTGTTTCTACTGCCATGACAAATTATCGAGACACCAGCATGATGACCAAAAGTGCTGATGGATTTGTGAAAGAATCACTGAATTACGTCATGGCAGGAGACGAAGCCTGTGGTTCCCTTGCCCATGAAATCTTGGTAATCACAACTTCTTTTCTTGTAGAGAACGAGGGTGGGTGGGCAGCCCCAGGCAAGGCTGCTAGCTTTTTCTCACTTTTGGAGCACGCAGTGGCTTTCTCTCATGGCAAGCCTGTGAGGTGAAGGGCGAGCTGTCCAGGTGTGATACAGCTGGTGAGGAGTGCATGGCTAAGCTGGAGAGCAGAGCGCTCGTCCTGGAGAGAACCGTGCACTCCTGGGCTCTCCTGCTTCTCCCCTTAGACTTAAAAGTGGCTCCCAGGAACTTTGGGGTAGGAAACACCAAAGACATCTAGAGTTTGCTGCTGTTGTCCTTGGCTCTGACTGCAGTAAGTGTTTATCAGCCTTGCGGGGGTGGGGGTGGGGGAGATAAAATCAGTTTGCTTTATAGAATGTGCTGATTTTCTTGGAGTAAATACTCCCATTGGGGCCAATTTTAAGCTACCAAGATGATATCACTTCCCAGGAATTGGGAAAGATCTCTTGAAAAAGAGCCAGCATATCTCAAGCTCCACTGAATGTGGAAATAAGGCTGGATGGCTGGGAAGTTCTTAGCACTCCTGGGATGCTTTGAAAAACAGCAGCACAAATCAAGGACAGATTTGGGCATCACACAGAACAGGGGCTCCAACACACACGTCCATGCAGTGCAGTTTCCCGAACTTTCGATGGACGTTCTTGGCTTACCTACCATGTCAACTGTCTCCTCTGTGTCAGAAGCCTTCCTACTGTAAGAATTACTTTTAATCTCTCTCCTTCCCTTCCTTAGATGCGAGTAGGATTCATTGCTTGATGCAATAAATTCAGCCATCTCCTGGGACTTGCAAAGACTTGGACAAAAGCTGCTGGACTTTCTTACCCTGACCACTTGTTATTTTTAACTGCAGAAGCTCAGCAGTATGCAGAAGTGCCCATTCCACGCACACTGCAAAGTGGACATATGGAAAGAACTGTTTTCCCTTCTCGATCTGTTTTTTCTCCAGATCCCAGTAGAGTGTGCAATGACGAATTAGGAAATGGGCTTTCAGTTTGTCACATGAACAGAATGTTCAGGTGTCCAGGCATTTTCTTTCTTCCTTATCTCTTTCTAAGACAGCTGGGGAAAAGAGTCCCTCCCATGATTCATGCTTGTCCTAATGTGTGTGTTCTCTGATGTCCTTCATCTTCAATGCTGCTCACTTTGCTGAAATGGACGTCTGTGGAGGTTAGAGATGTTAAAGCTGTCCTTTGGCTTCACCAGTGAACTTCCTGGCCAGGGCCTCCTTGCAGACCCCCAAGTTTCCATGACACCTCCCATCCAGGTCTGCCATCCACTCACAGCTGAGGTTCTCAGGCCCTCTGGCTCTCCTCTTGCCATTGTCACCAGGATGGACCTGAGGGAAGCTGAGAACATCACATCTCAATGCCTATGTCAGCAGGCTGGATAACTTTCTATGGTTGCACCTCAGCAGAAGGGGAGAAGGCATGCCCTCTCCTTGGTCTTCAGTGTTACCCTTACTTCTCACAATTCGCTATATTTACGCCAAGTCTCCCAGCCCCCAGGGTAAGTCCAGAGGCTGCACATAGCGAGGGAGAACTCCTAACAACTTCTGTGCCTTTTTCTCCTTCCACACCCCACCTATTCCCACAGAACACGCAGAAAAAGTAAAGATGTTCTGTACACAGTGTCTCTGCCTGTCCCTCTCCAAGGCTAGCTAGCTCCTGTGGGTAGCTATCTCTACCTTCTGAAGAGCATTGTGACCTAGTCCTCCAGGATGTTGAGTTCCTAAATGGAATCTATTGCATTTGGAAAATATGTTCTTCCTTTTTTTTTTTTTTTTTTTGTCCTGGGGATTGAACTCATGGTCTTGTGCTTGCCAGCCAGGTGCTTATGCCACTGAGCTAAATCCCCAGCCTAGAAAATAAGTTCTTGAGACAATATCCTAGCTTACCAGCTTATTGCTACACATTTTGCTCCATGGTCTAATTCTACCATGTCAATAGTTGAATGCTTTCCTGATATTTCTTTTTGATTTTTTTAGGTAATGAGTTCTAATTGTGTCAGCCAAATAGATGCCAAAAACAGGCTAGGATAAAAATGTTTTGTGCATGGTAAAGCAAGAGAGAAAGGGACATTAATTAATCATTGAAACCAGTTTGGAACTTGATGGATTTAGAAAGCTCGTTGGTTTGTGGGGTCTCAGACTCTTCTAGGGCACCAGGTCTGTACCTGCAGCCTGAGATGTGTTTCATTAAAACTTCATGCCTGAGTGTAAGGCATCCCCTCCTCGTAAGAGGGCACAGTGCATGCTGGTGTTTTACAAGCTTCTGTGAATGACTTTCATCCATTAGCTCATTCATGCATTCACGCGAGCGACTTAGGCACACTCTTCCAGCCTGGGCCAGGTGGTGGGAAATCCTTCTGATTCTGTCCCGGAGTCTTATTTGAATAGAATCTTAGCAGAGTGAGCATGAAGGCATCTGGGAAATGGAGCAGCAGGTAAAACAGATGTTTTTTGAGAGAAAGAGGTGGTGGGAAGTGGGTAGGACACATAGAGTTTCCCAAATTAAATTTCTTCCGAGATGATCCTGTGTCCATGGGGAATCCAAAGGCCACATTGGTGCTGAGGGAGCCTTGTTTGCTGAGAAAGGGTTGCAACATCCTTCAGCTTCAGCAACTGCCTACTTCACTGATTTGGGGACTTCACTAAATAATAATTCTTAAAAATCATGAGTATAAACTAAGGCATTTGAGTTACAATTTCTTTACTTGAGTTTTCTTCTATTAAAGGGACAATTTCTGAACCTGATCCCATCTTGGATCTTCTACAGCCAGGCCTTCCAGTCTCTCCTCCTGACATGCCAGTCAGATGACAGAACACAGAACCGCAAAGTCAACTAACGTGGGCGACGTGCTGGAGGTCAGCTTCGCCTCTCTTCCTGGTGTTCTTCGTGGGCTGAGGAGGACCAGAGGAGCTGACCAGAACCCTTCGCCTCCCTGAAGCTGGAGGTGGCCAATGTCACAGACACAGGACTTACAGTACACATTTTTGTGCCTTTACTCCAGTCTTGGGAAAGCTGTGATGTGCAAACATGTATTGTGCTGTGGAGTGGAACATTCCACGTGTGAGGAGAGGAGGGTGCCTGTGGGTAACACTTGAAGAATTTCTATAGAGAGCTTATTAAATAAAAGTGGTGAGCAGAATGATACCTCTGGTCATTGGCATCTTGAGAGCAATTATACCTAGTAGGTTACTATCATAGTTGGGTGTCAAAGTAAAGGATCAAAAGAATGTCTGAGGTTGCTAAACATCAGCTAGACTTTTATAGTCCTGATAGCATGTGTGGTGGATCCAAAAAATAGATTCCAGTTTCCTTGGATGGTGAGCAAAGACCGGCAAGTATATACTTGGTAACATGAGAAAACCCAGCTATGTTCATTGAAGTTAACAGGAAGGTGTGCTCAGGTCTGTGCCAACAGAAACAAAAGAGTGGCAAGAATGGTGCCAGGAAGCTAAGCTATGAAGAGTCCAGATAAATCAGACTTTGGTATTTAAAAAGATGTGCGCCCGCCCCAGATGCCTCTCACTGGCTCTCTCAGGATGATTGACAGAAATGATGGACAGATGTAGAGGCATCTCAAGGGCATCTGAGTACACACGACTCTCCCAGAATTTACGCTCTCTTAATCACATGCATGTGATGTGGTCCTTATGGATGAATCTTTCATGAAGTTCAAAGCGGGGAAAGGTTGCCGAGGGTCAGGTTACTGGGTCTAACTCATCAATGCTCTGGTCTGGAGCTTTGGAGATTGAGCCTTTGCTTTTTTTTTTTTTTTTTAAATTTTTAAATTTCTGTTCTTCGTAGCACAATGAAAGAAAGCAGAATTGGCCCTCGGGTACTGTCCAAATTCAGATGGATAAGAGAAGTGGTCTCAAGGGGTTGGCTTTGAAGCATTTTTTCCCAATCCCTTTCCCTCTGTTCTTTGTCTCTTGCTCTGCTGCACGACTGCCACGAGGTGATGGGACCATGGTGTTTCTTCCACACCACAGACCTCGGAGCAACAGAACCAAGTGACCGTGGGCTGGAACTTCTGATGCAATGAGCTAACATAAATCTTTTCCTCTTTTAAGTTGTATCCTTACACAACTAATCATGAAGCAACTATGCAAGTGTAGACATTGTGCTTCTGGAAACTTCTGTATCAAACTTCGGTCAATTTTGCCTCTGAGGAAGAGCTACTTCATATCTTTAGGTAGCTTAGGTGAAAAAAACAATGAACTTCAGTGTATATAGCCAGGGGCAGATATTTAGAGATAATTTTTAGTTGTGCAGCACAAGAATTTTTCCAGTGTATTAATCCCCAGTTGATTTGAGTTGTTGCCCAACAAAGTTCTTGAAAATCTTTTAAGAGAATTTTTTCCTAGTGAAGGCTCTGATATGTTGAACTGGCTTATGAAATGGGCATGAAAGCTCTGTATTTTAAGATTATTGTCCCTGTCACCTCTAGCACTACATAACAGCTATTATTTCTTGTACATCAGTCATAGCCAGGGCTATGTGAAGCCTCGTGATAACTTAAGAAGTTGGTATTACTGTTGCCTTCATTTTATAGATGAGGACACCAAGGCACAAATAAAGTAACTTTGCACAGATTCACCTGACCACGGAGGAGAAAAGCTGGGGATTTATTTCGGGTCGTCTCCTTCCTACGTACCTTAGCTGAAACACCCCACTGGAGGGCTGCCAGTGTGGTTAAGGCTATTTCATCAGAATTGATGGCAAAGGAGAAACACTATGTCCCTGCTAAGTTTTGGATAAGTATCCCCAAAGGCACATATGTTAAAGGCTGGGTCCTCAACCTATGGAGCATTTAAAAGATGAGGACTAGAGGGTGGGTATCGTGTCACTGGGGGCATGACCTTGATGCATGGCCGGATGCTGGCCTCTTCCCCTTTCTCCTTTTGCTTCCTAGAAGCCATGAGGTGAGTGGCTTCCTATTACTGTGTACTTCTGCTGTGATGCATGGCTTCACAGAGGCCCCAAGCAGTGGGGCCAAGCAAACACCAAAGACCTCTAAAACAGTGAGACAAATCTCTCCTTTTTTAAAAAATTGGTATTGGCATAATTGTTTTCTTAAAATTTATTTTAAAAAAACTAAACAGAAAAAGGACAGAAATGATACAGAATTTTTTAAAAACCCCAGGAAATCAACACAGTTACCATATTGCTTATCGTTATCTTAACTGCTCAGGTTACATGATCTAGGCACACACACAAAAAGGATCAAACAATCAAACAATGACAGCACAAACTGTTCTTTTCAGTGGATCAACAGAGATCAGCAGCACAGTGATCCACCTTATATACATATACATACATACGTTTATACATGTGTACCTACATAACGGGCATCTGAGATAAACAAGCACATCTCAGATGAAGACATACAAATCGCAAATAAATACATGAAGAAATGTTCACCATCACTGGTCATTTGAAAAATGCAAATTAAAACAACATTGGCATACCATCTCACTCCAGAAAGAATGGCTACCATCAAGAAATCAACCCATAACAAATGCTGGCGGGACTGTGGGGAAAAAGGATGGGAACTCTTTCCTCCTTGCCAGTCGATTATCTCCGGTGTTTTGTCACAGTGATGGAAGACTGGCTAATACAGCTCTGTATTCTTCAGTGTCAACGTATCATGGAGATAAGAGGAGGAATCAGACTTCTGCAGCCAGGCTTCACGTCTGGATTTTAACATAGACTACTTTCCAAATTTTCCACGATCTGAAATCCTTCAGGAGCAGGGAGCTCTGCCACGTCTCACTTGTATTTGTGTTTCTGTATGTGTGTGTGTACTGGGTCTCTCATCTGTGGAGGTCTAGGGGTCCCCAGGAATATTATCCCACGCTGCCCATCTGTGCGACCTCCCAGGGCGCTGGTCCTGAAAATCCCTAGGGCACAGGTAGCAGGAGCAGGAGGACAGAGCAGGCCCCTGGGCTGTCATCTTCTTCTTGTTCTTGGGAATGGGACCTGGGTGCTTCATTTCAAAGACTCTTGTCACTAGTGCTTGATCCCAGCTGTGTCTGGTTCTGAGGCTGAATAATGCAAAAAGCACAGTAGTTTATCCACCCAGCTCCGGGCAGGGGAGATGGGCGGTTCAAGCGGGATTGACTCCCTACTGCCCTCTAGTGGTCTGAGAGAGACGCTGTTGGAAGGTTTGCAGGAATCTTGTAAAAATACAGTAGTAGGTCTCAGCGAAGAGATACAGGGAGGCAACCGCAGTCTGCATAATCTTTCCCCTCCTTTTAAAGATAAGGATACGGAAGCCCGAGGACAGTAAACTTGAGGAAGATGAAAAACATCAGACCTGATATTTGACGGAAGCTCTTTCTGATAGCAAAATTTTAATTTTCTATCTCCTTGCCTTCCAGTTAATACTTTAATCAGCACCACATCTGTGAGATTTATCTATGTTGTAGCGATCATTTCTTTTTTTCTAAATAGTGTTGTTTCACATAGAGATATATCACAATTTGTTGATGGCTATTTGGTTTTCCAGGGTGGGATATCACGAGTAATGCTGCTGTGAACATTTTTGCCTGAGTATTTTTGTGGACATATGTTTTCATTTCTCTTAGGTTTATACTCCGGAGTGGATTTACTGGGTCAAAGGGTTGGTGTATTAAACATTTTATTTTAACTTAAAACATACAAAAGTATATTCTCATGCCAGTCTTTTGATGTAGGGCCAAGTCCTTTCCTTTCTGTATGGTTCACTCATCAGAATCACAGCTTGTCTTTCTGTGTAAACCATACCATGGAAGGTAGCAGCTACAAGTTTTGATTCTTTAAAGTGGATGACCGTGTAGTCACATTAAGCAGTCTGAATCTTTCTGGGTTTTCCAGAATTTACTCAATAACCTTTTACAGTTATCTTGTCCACACTTACTTCTGTAATAATAACTTTTATTTATTTGTCCTTTGGCATGGTTTGGATGTGACTCCTAGAACTCATGGGGTGGAAACAAAATCCCCAAAGTCATGGTATTTGGTCATGAGACTTTTGGGAGCTGGCTGGGTCACAAGGGCTCTGCCCGCTTGATTGGATGAACCCATTTATGGGTTCATGGATTAATGGGTTGCTGAGTGGTTAGCTTCATTACAAGTGAGCGCTCTCTGGCATGATTGATCAGGCATGTGCTGCTCTCTGCCATATTTTGATCTAGCGAGATGTCCCTCACCTGATGTCAAGTAGATGCCAGCACCACACTCTTGGAATTCCCAACATCCCAGGATTATAAGCTTCTATTCTTAATAAATAAATAAACTTTTCTATTCTTTATACATTACCTGGTCCTGAGTATTTTGTTATAGTAGCAGGAAGTATACTAAGGCACCCTTGTTGAGTCTTTCCAAAGCACTCACTCATGTTTTCATTATAATAATTGACAACGACAACTTGTTTTCCTTTCATGCCAACATTTCATTGGTTTATATTTTTAAAATTCCTCTGGTAATTATAACGATAAAAAGAACAGATATTGACAGGGTTGGAAGCAACATAATACCTCTTTATAAGCACCTGACTTGATTGGTAGAAAGAAAAGAAAGGGGACATAGCAGAGGTAAGTTTAGCTTTGGTAGTAGATGTGTAGCAGACACACTCATGATGTACAGATCAGTGTGTTTTTCAGAGTGAACAGAGTACTGATGTGTTCTGGTTACTCCAGCTGGTGATAGAGGTGACCCGTATCTCATAGTGGCTATTTCATTATGCTCACAGATTCTGCAGGTTATGAATTTGCACAGTGGACGATGGAAAAGACTTGTACCTGATTGAAGGTATATGTACCTCGGAGGGATTGAGGGGACAGTGGCGGGGGCCTGGGTCATCTGCAGGTCCCTTTGACCTGCATTTCTTGCCATGGGTGCAACCTGGGCTGGTGATGTTAACCAAGGCCTCTCCATGGGGCTTGGTCTTGGCCACCATAGAGAGGTCGCCTTCCATGGCAACTCAGGGTTCCAGCAGTGAATGTCCCAGTACATTAGTACTAGCGTCATTGTCTGTTTTGATCTAGTGTAGAGGTCCTTCTATTGGGTACAAATATTTGACAATAAATGAGATTTTTGTTTGCTATTCATATATCTTTAGCTGGTTAGTTTTTGACCATTTTCTGATTCAGTTTTTTGTTT